AATATCATAATGTAATAGTTCACAGTATCATAATGTAATAGTTCTCAATATCATAATGTAATAGTTCACAGTATCATAATGTAATAGTTCACAGTATCATAATGTAATAGTTCACAGTATCATAATGTAATACACAGTATCATAATGTAATAGTTCTCAATATCATAATGTAATAGTTATCAATATCATAATGTAATAGTTCACAGTATCATAATGTAATAGTTCACAGTATCATAATGTAATAGTTCTCAATATCATAATGTAATAGTTCACAGTATCATAATGTAATAGTTCACAGTATCATAATATAATAGTTCACAGTATCATAATGTAATAGTTCTCAATATCATAATGTAATAGTTCACAGTATCATAATGTAATAGTTCACAGTATCATAATGTAATGGTTCACAGTATCATAATGTAATAGTTCACAGTATCATAATGTAATAGTTCTCAATATCATAATGTAATAGTTCACAGTATCATAATGTAATAGTTCACAGTATCATAATATAATAGTTCACAGTATCATAATGTAATAGTTCTCAATATCATAATGTAATAGTTCACAGTATCATAATGTAATAGTTCTCAATATCATAATGTAATAGTTCACAGTATCATAATGTAATAGTTCACAGTATCATAATGTAATAGTTCACAGTATCATAATGTAATAGTTCACAGTATCATAATGTAATAGTTCTCAATATCATAATGTAATAGTTCACAGTATCATAATGTAATATACAATATCATCTTGAAATAACTAAAACAATGAATTAGGTGTTTTGCTGATATACTTACCATAAACTGTTTAGATGTTGTCTATAAGTATATTTTGATTGCAACTTAATGTCTAAAATTGACATATCTGTGTATATTGTAAGTTATAAATCTAGAACATGTCAATACAACGTGATAAAGGTATTCGAATCAATGCACGACTTAGAATATGAAACTTTTTATAATTTGAAGATGTAATGGAGCTTACAGAAAAGATAATAAGTTTCTAGATAATAGTTGCTTGATAAACAGATACAAGCTGACTTCTGTTTTAAAATTATAAAAAACCCAGGAAATTAGAATAAAATGATAAGAAAAGTGTGTAATAATGGAAGAATATCGGAAATTGTCTGAAACTTGCCGCAAGTTATCTCGATTTTTACATAATGAGGTCAATCTGCTTGAAATATTAAGTTAAAAAATTAGATATTACTTAGAAGCGAGCTCTTGTTTTAAAATACGATTACTTTTTGACCCGCTTAATCTGTGTAAGAGTGAGAAATGAACATGAAATATTTTGCTTTTTTTATTCAACTTGTTGAAAGGTTTAAAATATATTTTCTGATTTGATATATACATGTAACAGGCGCTAGAAACTAAACTAACAAGTAAAAGTTATTTGCAACTGGTGGTTGTAGCATAATTCGTGGCAAAGCAGAACTGGTCTCTAATAAGTCATCAACCAATCATAATCCTTACAATTAATCCGATACCAACATCAGAACTTCCAAACAATAACTCTTTACGTAAACAATCGGTTATTAGGAAGCAGCAAAAAGTGCTACACAAATTTCAGAGCGTAGAATGCAAACTTGTGATCACAGAATTAGTAGACATTCTTATAAATAGAAATATACAACTTGTTAAATATAACTCTGAAACTTTATGCTAGCAATAAGGTGATGGATGTCTTCCTTTTATTATGGAAACAATTTAAATTAATTAACACACTATCTGAATACATCAAGAAGCCAACAGTGTTTTTTTTTTATTTAACAAAGAACATATTTAAGAAGATGCTGAACATTTATTAGACGATACATTTTCAATGAATTGAAGAATAAGTTATTGCTATCAAAGTGTATATTACCTTATCCAGCAGGATAGTGCAGTTTCTGAATCTGTTATTTTGATGTGTCATTTGATCCACGTAAAAGCTCTGTGTTCTAGTTCTGTCATTTTGGCAGAAAATCTGCACTTGTTAGTAAAGAATTGTGTCAGTTCAGAAGAAAAGGCGATACCTCAATCTGGTGTAAAATACTAGTAAGTTATTAACAGCAATATGTATATTGACAACTGTATTCCCTAGTCAGTTTCTATTCCACTGTATCTGATGCTTATATTAAAGATATAATATTAGTTTTATGATTTATTTGTCGTTCTATTCACTTTTAATAAGACATGGAAATAATGGTTTCGCTAACTATACGCCTACTGGGATGTTTTCGTCTAAGATAAAACTTATGATATTTGTTGGTGAACTTGTTCATAATTTACCTTTCGCCTTCAAAATAGCCTTTAAAGATCCCTCGACAGTTGGAAATCGAAAAAGAGCAGGCTAATGCCTCTGTCCTGGCAAAATTTCCCTCATCCCATGTTGCCCGTCTTCATTAGCCCACCTGGTGCAGAAAAGTAGGACGTAAAACTCCATTCATTTCATTTCATTTTCAAAATGGCCTTTTTTTTAGTCCCATATCTTTTTTGGCAGGCTTGGAAGTGGGGGTGGGGGTTGTTGATAACCTGTTATTAAAACACAGAAAACACCAACGAATTTGGATCGAGGTGGTTTGTTTTTCAACGATGAAATATGGTAGTTCATCTGCTTTCTCGTATATTAAGGTATGACAAAGGGTGTAAATGATTACCTACAAGTATAGAGCCAAATTATATTTCAAGCCTTTAACCACATTAAATCCGTTTTGTTTCAATAGTCCAAAAAGCCCGGAACAATAGAATTTCTCGTAAAATTCTCATTTCTTGAGAAATAATAATAACAAAAATTTATTTTCATTAATCTTGGAAGTTGCAGAGCACAGCGAACAACGAAAACTTCGTGCCACTTCATTTTTTGATCGTAATAGAACAACAGGATAAAAAAACCCATTTGATCAGGGTTAGTAAGGCGCAGAACAGAAAAAAGCTGAATTACACTTGATTTCATGTGATTTCACTCGATTTCATTTCATAGCCTTATAAGAAACATAAATAAATCTCTCGGATATTCCAGGAAGTTGCCTGAAAATCGTTTTATGTTTTTCAACACACACATTCTTTACATTTTTCTTCTTGAAGTTTAATTAAGTTTTACACCGACAATTTCTCTCCAAAATATATTTTATGGATTGTTTTTACCTTTTCAATTTATTTTTCAATCTTGTAGGTACCGTGAAATATCTCCTCGGATTTCCAAATCGCTTCCTTTTGTGACAACTTAAAAGGAATTAATATTAAAACGAACGAAAGGATTCAGAAATGGTAATCAGTCAATCTGGTTGTCTAATCACACGGAAAAACCATTTTTGTTCTAAATTCATCAGGGTTTACATTATTTATCCACGTAATTTTCTTTTCCAGGATATTTATGGGGCTATTTGATGGTAAAGAAAACGATATTCTATCTGCAACTGGTGATTATCACGACCTTACTAATCAGAGAGAAGTGGAGCGTGAGTTGGAGGCGGCGTGTGTCTACTCTACAATGTTCACAGATTACATGGAATCAGTGGTGACTATATTGTACTGGCGATTGGAATGACTTCTGTGTCTTCTTTGATACTCTTTTAAAAACCATAAGCTCTTTAGTGTGATTCGGAGTGTGTTTATTATCGGAGTGACGTGAACAGTGCAGTGAGTCTTTCAAATTTTACATCAAATAAGTGATTTTTTTTAAATGTTCTCGAACATAACTTATATTACTTATATCAAGAGTGGTCAAACTTTTCAGAATAATTAGAAAATTATTCTATAATCGCCTTACGGTTATCAAAGAAAAAAGTCAACATACAACAATCAGGCGCAATCAATGGCGCTGAAAAACTGATGTCATACAGAGAACATCCAGCAAAAAATATAGTGTCGTTGAGTACTTTCATACCTAACGTCATCGACGAACTGGCATTGTCCGGAACGTGACAAAGTTGAAAACAGCATCGTCGAATATATTTTCCGGCTTCACGGAATTCTGCTAGCTGTGAAACTTTTAGAACCATTCTCAGTCATTAACGTTTTTTTCAGCTAAAACTTTCAAGCCTGATTAAAACAGTCTGGGGATTGGTTCTGATTTTAAACTACATGTTTACTTTTACATCATTACACAATTCTTATCTATTAAAATCACACGCAGAAAGTGAAAGGTTTAATTAAAATTGTTATGAACTATTTGAAGCTGTGAAATTGGAGGTAAAATAACGCCTGGCAGATAATTAATTTGAATTTTGTGGGGTTTACAACTTCTTGAGTATTCAGCTTTGTTTGATACTTGTATAGTTGGCACTTTCAATTGTAAAAAAAAAGTCCTGACCATTTGTAACTAGGACCTGAAAGCTATAGAAACATTTTACTCTGAAATTTAAACGTTTTTAATTATTAACGTTTTAGTGCTCTTATAAATAATGAAGTGATTCGATTTTTTCAGGGAACAACTTTGATGTACATATTATATAAAAGTGGTATAAAGCTTGTAAAGGTCAGTGAACACTGTGATCTCCAATCGGTGAAGTAGAGTGACTGGATATTTCCTTCGACAAGGGTTTCAAGTCAAGAAAAGTCAAGAAACATAATCTATTAAGTGTTCAGCAAACAGAATTTATAAGTCAAGAGAATCTCAATGATTCATTAGATAATAATGCATTGTGCAAACTTGTAAAGATTTAGAAAAAAGGAATTGATTCACTTTGATTGAAACATCGTGCAAAACCGGAAGTTGGTAGTTAACAGATTGTATAAAGTACTCGGTAGTTCTGAAAGCCGTACAAATACACGGCAGTGTAGGCCGACAATTATATACTAGAATTAAATTGTACTTTTCATTTCATTTGGAGACATCCGGAACAATTCTTTACTATCATAGATGCTTCAAATTTATATACATTTGCAGACTGAAAACTATCTAATCATTCAGATGCCATCAGTAGGGTTTCAACACGAAAAAATCTTATCATAGTATCAGACTTGGAAAAGGGAACAAACCGATATTCGAATAATTTCATCAGAATGGATAGTACTGCTATAGCGTTATCGTTGATAAAACAAGGCATGAATACAACCACTATGGCAACTAGCGGATTGAACAATACAACAACAGCACAAGAGAATACCACAGTGATTATAAACGACTACAATTTGCCATGGTGGCAACAACTGATATTCATAACGTTATTTGTAGTGATTATAATAGTTGCGGCTGGTGGCAACATCATAGTTATCTGGATTGTATTAGCCCATAAACGAATGCGGACGGTAACAAATTATTTTTTGGTTAATTTGGCCGTTGCCGATGCGATGATCTCTATTCTCAATACCTTGTTTAACTTTTTGTTTGTGCTCTATCAGAATTGGTGGTTTGGTGAAGACTATTGTAAATTTTCAATGTTTATATCGCCATGTACAATCAGTGTCAGCGTTTTTACCTTTATGGCTATTGCCATTGACAGGTAAGTCTTGAAGTTTTAATATCTTAATTAAAAGTTTCGATCAATTTTAAAAGGCCTTATATCTCAAATTTGATGAGAATAGAATAAACCAATATCATGTGATTTACTGAATATTAGATATCTGGTTCAGACTAAATGTGATTATTATACACTTAACTCTTAATGCAGTTATAGTGAAAATGATTCATTCTTACTTCGGTACTTAAGTTTTTCTTTTACCTATAAACATTAATAGAACAGTAATAGTATAGTTCTATCTCTTCACCATTAAACCATTGCAACCATTTTCGGTAATTCATTGTGTATTTCGGTCTACCCACTCGTTCAACTGTCTTATTTAAAACCTTGTTTATGATAATCTCAGTAATGGGAAAATGCATAAAAAATACGAGAGGATCTAATTATTTGTTGTAGCTGTCTGATATGTCGGTTAGCGGATTTTGATAACTAGCCAAGATAATGATAATTCATTCATTAGATTGCTTATTATTTCATTTATTTCTAATAATACACGTCACTTTTATATTCCACCTCTTCAAGGAATAATCAAGTCTAATTGTAGACTTTTCTTTATAATGGGCTTTATGGGTATTTTACGTCCTACTGTTCTGATCCAGATTTTGGATTATGAGAACGCGCAACGCCATACCAAAATTGTAACGTAAGCCTTCAAATATCGGGTGATCTTTACAACCTTCGGACCTGCATTACTAGTAAAGGTTTGACAAATACTTTCTGCCTATACCCGAACCTTGATATAAACATAATAGATCAGTCCTTTCCTCTGAGAAATATAATTACTGTCGACATTACTATTGTTAATCAAACTTTCATAGAAATAAACAATCAATCAAATGTTTTTGAGAAATGACAAAATCACAAATTTCAAAATCTTAATAGAGACGTTAATGCGAACTAAGACAATTTACTAATTTTCTCGTTCCTGTCTCATCATTCCTGTTCTGCGAACTCCATGAAACTGTACATGATTCTTAACCAGCTGCACTGATGAAGAACTTGACTTTCAAATCATGTGACAACAAATATATTGTAGAAAGTAATACTACATGGCCATAAAAGTCATATCAACTCTTTCAACCAAGGAGAACTTTGTTGCTGTTCATTATGTCTTCCAGTATTGTTCATCAAGCGTCAGACTACATATGAGTATACAACGACATGATTCTATGTATTTATAACAGTAGCTATTTCAGATTTAAAAGCCAATTAATAGAAATACATTATTATTTCAGAAGTTCAAAGCATTAGTGAGATTTTTGTGCAATACGATCAAATTTAATGAGAAAAAAGCCTAGAATTTTTAATAGAGATCATGAAATATCATTACTAGCACAATATGTTAGCATTTCACCCCACATCCCTGGTTTCTGGTTGTAATACACAACCATAACTATTTATTACATCAATTTAGATCAAATATGGATACTGATATACACAGAGAACTGTGTGTGGTACAACTATGTCTCTGTTGTAGGATTGGAATACATGATAATAAAATTGTTTATTGCAGCTCCCATTAAAAAGCTTTCGTTACTTCGAATTCAAACTTTGTACACTTATCTGTAAAATGAGTTGAAATGAATACACAGAAATAAAACTTACCACCATTATTTGTGACAGATTTTAAGAGTATAAAACAGTCTGGCGGTAATGAAATAAATAACAATTACTATAAGTTTTATATCTGTTGTAAAAACTAATGATTAAGAAACGTGTTTAACTACCTTCTGTATCGTTTACCAGATCTGTTAACTAGTCTACGTTTCAAGATACGTGTGTCATTTGGGAATGAGGCATTGTACAGTTGTTATAATGGATCAACCCTATTTGCCTTCGTATAGCTTCCGTTGATTGCACATATGTTTAACTTTAGCTGAAATAAGCTAATTTGAAGATCTCTGAAAGTGTCACTGTAAGGATCGATAGTGTCTAGGCTTGACTTTCCCACGGGGTCGATATCCCTATGGGTTGCGATTCTCAGATTAGGCATCCACCACCTCATGTTGCATACATCTGAATCTTTATATCTGGATATCAGGTGCTTTGACTTTCCTAAATATTTTGCTGGTTTAACTCAGTATGTTTGAGACCTGAAGAATAGTAAACTCAAGGCTCTGAAACAGGGAATATCTTTTCCTCAGCAAAGTGAGGTTTCAGCACAATGAATGAGACAAACGCCACTCATTCTAATTATGTTATCTAGAAGTTTCACCCCTTTTCTAGTAGGAAAATTGCAATTTGGAAATAAAAATACCATTTTCTTCAAAGGTTATGATAAATTTTCAAAATAAGGAATAGAAACTCTTGAAGAAAAAACTAACTTGTATTTTCCTATATCTCCGGATACAGAACTGATATGATAATTGAATGTTTGTGAAGGAAAGAAGGAAAATGTCAGATTTTAGATATCTTTTAAAATTATCTGAAAAAAGAAACCACATAAAATCATCATTAACGTTCGTCTGCGATTCTTCCTCTAGATATTCGCTACTTTCGTTTTTATTTTTCTTACCTTTTATTTTGATGATATTTTCAATAAAAATATATAATTAATCGAAACTCGCAAATATACAATTTAATCAATATTATTGATATTGAAAATAGGCTATCGTATTCTAGATTAATGCTAAAGCGCGTTCAGGAAGGTTGAAATGTTACCACAATTTTCATTGTCGATTTAATCAAAACACAGCTGCCAAATATATGAATGAATTGTAGACTTACACTAACACATAAAGGGTAAGATGATAATGCTTCGTTTTTACCGGTAGGAAAGCATTTTGTGCATCTGGAGTAAGAAGCCTCCTCATAATTGCGGAAATGAAAAGATTCGTGCTAAATGACTACACCAGCAGATAACCATCCAAAATTTCAATTACGGTGCTGATACAGTGAAAGAAAGTTGACTTAAAGTCTCCGTAAGCGTTGTATTAGCTTGCTAGAATCGCAAGACATCGTGGTCACCATTGTCGACAATGAAACACCTTGAGTGCGTAGTAATAGTCGTTCTTGGTGCGCCGTGGGAAATTATTATGGTCGCATAGGACGACTGATTTAGAATTTATATTTTTTTACGGAGTTTGTATTGTTTTTTTTTTCAATTGCCAGCAACCTGTTACATTATTAATTGCCGAAGATCTCAGATGGTCGCAATCCGGTGTTACGGGCTATAGAGCAAGCAAGTTTCAGGCTAATATCTCATATGCATGATCATATTTGCAGATTTAAAATGATCCTTAATCTCAGGAGCTAAATGGCGAGGCCGGATTCCATAAGGTTGATTGCGTCATTGTAGATCAATAATATCTGCAACAAGGTCCCTATCCGTTGATGTACCATGTTTCTCGTCATCAAATTTTCCCATTTTCTCAATATGTTGATTTTTGGTTTCGTTTTGCGGTTCGGATCGTTAGTACTTGGTTTAATATTTCCATAGTCCTTCCAACTTTAACTGTCATCTTTTTCATGCATTTTCCTTAATTTTGTCTCTGCCAATTTATTTTGATATTTATTCAGTGATCAGGCCTGATGTATCTTGTTTTCTGGTATTAATCTGAGGTAATTCCAATAAACATCTGCCTCCTCTCAAACAAACAGATAAAGAGTGCAGTGAACTTCTGAACTAATACATAATGTTAAAGTTAATAGCTGGTTAGATTCTATATAATCAGAGACGTTTTTCCAGATTTTAAAAATTTATACATGAGATTTGTTTTCGATTCATAGATATTGTAGAAATAGAACATTCATGGCGTCAGCACATCTGTAAATATTAAATAATTACGATATCAATAAAGATACGCTTGTAATTAAAGAGAGCCTACCTCTCGAAAGGTAAAAGTTACGCCCAGAAGTTATCGTATGAAGGTTTCAGTTGATGAAAAGTATACAGTTTCTCTACACTCGAATGTTTTGGTACATCTGATATACCGGAGGATTGGTACTACCTTTAAAACCTATGTTAATGCGAATTATATTCAAGTAGTATGGCTGTTTTCACTCTACCACACACAGTTATGTTATTTAATGTTCTGCATTTCATGTTCAAAATTAGTGAGCAATGGCAGGCTAATGGCATTCTACTGCCAACTTCAATATATATTTTATATATTCCGTAATAATGCAGTCCAATAAATATTTATAATATAATTGAAGTGGAGTTTTATGTTCCTATTTTTTACCGTGCTAATCAATCAAAATGGAGTTTTACCTCCGCCTAATTACGCCTGCGAGATGCTCTGGCGAACCTTTCTGGGATAATGACATTGCAGCAAGTTTTATGGTTTAAGTTTAAGTTTTCTTGGGTTAATGAATCGCCTGTAACTTTACAGAATATCATTTTTCCTTTTCTAAACTGATTTTCGGTGAAATATTATTGAAACAAAAACAGTGGCTTCAAATAATATTCATTTAAGTACAAATGCTTTACAATTGACGTAACTTTGGACTTAGGTTTAAAATTGGAGATGCCTGTTTTGCTGTTCAAACTGAATATCACCGCTGTGCTAATTACATTATTCAGTCTGCACAATAAAACCATAATGATAATAATTATGTAATAGTCATTAACATAATTTGTTAATGTCTGTATAGAATTTTAATGAACCTACACACATGTAAAGATATCTATCTTACTTGGAAGAAATGGTTTGTCGTGTGTACTATATGCAATTGTAAAGCTCAATAAATCTTATGGTTGCATGTTGTGAAAAATTCCAAAGCCATTCCAAAACATTTGCCAACCCATATTCAAGATGTCATAATATTTAAAATAGTGCGTCGAGTATTTCCAAGATGTTAAAGATTACCCGTTTCTTGAGGTCTCCTTGCCCCGGTCGTTAAAATAGGGCTGTGACCTTTTTCTAAGTAGGATGAATTCCAAATCACAATCTATTCTCTCCTAAAAAACACATTTTCAAATGATTTTGATAGTAACAGTTTCTGGATTTGAATCATGTTGAATACATTATGTTGGCGAG